AGCAGCTGCAGACGTAGCCTGCCCGTTTTTTGGCTGATTGTTGTGTAAAACGAGGGCCTCACGGGTCAGTAACGAGGGAGGATTTTGTTGTTTGTTGCTGGATTCACCAATCTTTTTCATGATTCCGGTATTAATGCATTCCATCAAGAGTTTTTCATCCCTTCGATCACGTTCGCGGACATGACGATTTGGTGTCAATTGTTTTCCCTGGATTGGCAGAGAATCAAACTGCTTTAAATTGGGATTTGATTGGGTGGTGTTTTGATCGTTCTGACCATTCTTGTGAGTTCGATGAGAATGGGAACTGCGTGTGTGTTTTCGTGACGAAGAACTGCTACCACCACCCATATTGCTATCACGATTCTTATGCATTCCCGTGAGAATGCACAACTCAAATAGCGATTTCGATTGGTTGTCATTGGAGTCACTTGAATCTACGGAGCTATATGATTCATTTCCTGCCATTATGGGACCGTAATTTTGGTTTGCACCATTGTTGGACTGCTGAATTGGCTTTTCAAACTGGCGGGCAGTTGTTTGGGATGTCAGAGAGGATGCTGAGGTAGCTGCATTGATGGGTATGGGTTGTGAAGATGATAATGATGGGGTGGTCTTGTGATTACCCGTAGAAGTCAAATTTGTGGTAAAACCCAAATTCGATTTTGGTCTATTGCAACCAGCGGCAATAGCCTGTAAAGGAAGGAAAGGATTACAAAATTTTAGCAAAATTAAATCAATTTAAAGTGAATAGACAATCGAATTACCTGACTTAACAGATTGGTATCATCTTCAGATTCAATTGAGAGAGAACTCAAAGAATCATCTTGCCACTGTGGTTCCCTGCGAGCATCCTCTGCAACTGCACTTAGTAAGGGTTTGTTGTCGGCACGCATTTGGAAATTGTTGCTATTTGGTGCGACTCTCATAGGATTATTGTCATTGCTGTTATTTCTCATAGGGCTGTGCAGAATGAAAAACAGATTTTAAATGTCAGTTGCCCAAAAAGGTTATCCTTTTTCAAACTTACTTTGCACCAGCAGCTGTTCCACCTTGCAACAGTAAGGCAGGTCCCACAAGACTAGATCCAACAGTTAGATTGGAGAGACCAGACATTACGGAGAAATTACAAGGACTATCTTCAACGCGGTATTTACTCATTTCATCATTGCCCGTTAGATAGGGTGGTAGGACATTGCCTCCTCGTCTCAGCATGGCAATGGGATCCATTACATTATTGGGAGCATTTGGTGGTAATGATGGATGCCCATGATTACTGCCGACTGGTTGAGCAGATATTTTAGGTTTCTCTTTGGCTGAAGAGGATTTTTGCATACCCTCTCGGATACATTGCTGCAGAATATCAATACCAGCAGCACCACTTTCCGAAGCATTCGATGACATATCATCGGATAAATTTAGGGATCGCCTATTTATTGCTTGCTGATGATTCCGTGAAACAGAGTTACTTATTGTCTCATAGACAGTGTCATCTTTAGCATCATTGTTGCTGGAACCCAACGATATGGCCGACAGATTTGTATTACTACCAACTTTGGACAGCAAGGCCGGTGTATCCTCCGTATAATATTGTTTGGGTTCATCTTGAGCCATCATCGAACTTACCGGATTATTGATCGAAGATCTGTTGTCGTCATTGTGCTGGGAATACATTGAGGGTGCCGCAGCTCGGTTCATACCCATATTTATACACGAAGCCAACAACAAATCATCGTTGTTATTCGTGTTGCCGTCTTCCTCCTCTTCACCCTCCGATATGGTATTGGTTGTTGTGGCAGCTGTTGGTTGAGCTTGGGGTGGTGATTGATTTGTGGATGACGCTTCGTCGTCCATCATTGAGAGGTTACTCAAACTGGTGGCAGTTGAGAATTGGGCAGGGGTGTTTTCAACATGAAATGTACTGATATCATCTTCGGCTGTTACTGGTTCCTACGTGGCGATTGCGGCATACTTTGTGTGGGCGAATCGGGTATCTCGGAGGGTGATATTACACCGCTAGCCAAACGACTAAAATCACTAACCACTGAACTTTTGTCATCCAACGGCCCAACATCTTCCTCCGCCAAAGAGTCCATTGATGAACGTCGTGAAAACATTAGCGGTGTTTCCAGGGCCGAATTAATTTGTGGTTGAGGCGGACCAACCAGGGTGGAAGTGGTTGGTGGCTCAGGAGGAGAATTTGTTTTCACTTCCGGCTTGATGTCTAGCTGTTGCTTTAATACACATTCTGTATCGTCTTCTTCTTCTTCTCGACCTCGGTTTGTGGTCTTGGCATTGGATACTGCATGCCTATCTTTGGTTTCGTTGTGTTCCGGTTGAGGTGGTGATTCATCTAAGCTGCTCAAGGATTCATAACGACTGAAATACCCCGGAGTACCTTCTTCACAATAATTTACCGGCTTTTCAGGTGTATACGATCCTGAACCATATGGATTTGAATTGTGAACAGATGGTTGTTGATGAGGACCTCTACTAAATTTACGAGAGGGAATATGACCCCCAACACCACCACCACTACCTCCGTTTGAAGCTGGTGTTTCTGAACTCTCTATGCCCGATGGCAAATCATTTTCTCCATTTTTATCTGAGGTTTGTACCGATCTCAGATCGGTTACGGAAGCTGCATTTGATATAACATAGGGTGTATCTTCGGTTTGATAACATTTGACACTATCCTCTAATATTAGTAAAATTTCACTGCCTTCTGTCTGCGTTTTGGGCCGAGTTGGACCATTAGACGAATTTGTTGGGTTCAGTTTCTCTTGTCCTTCATTATCATTTTGTCCGGAAGGTGGTGATAAATCTATATCGGATTCCAATTGATTTTCAGCATAGCGTAGACTAAAATCGGTTGGTTGATCTAAATCGGTTTCCTGATATGTAGCTGCATCATTTTCCGGGTCTTCTCTGGAGCTGCCATGTTTGCTAATGTGTTCGGTATATTTTTGTGAATAATCAATTGGTTGTTCCTCGGCCGGTTCAACATCCCGGGGTAGAGCATAAACTGCACTGGCCGATGGAGGTGGCCTTACAACAGAGGAATGATGCAATTTACGATTGGCATCAGATGCCGAATGAGATCTCATTAGTTGATCGTAGACAACGCCATCCGATTTAGCAGAGAATACTGAATCGCGACTTTCACTTTTGGTAAGCATTGCTGAGCGTGTGAGACGGCCAGATACCGATGCCCCAATGCCCCCACCACCGCCCATTACCATGGATCCCAAGGCCCCGGCATGTAATGGAAAGCGATGTCTTTGCAGAACCGATGATGATCCACTTGAACCACTCGGTGCGGTGGCATCATATGTCGGCCGATCTTTTGGATTCACGGTATCCAAATTATCACAGGTTTCACTGTGTTTCTTGGAGGCTGCCCCCAATTCCTGCTCCAAAGCCTTCTGCTTGCGAACATTCAATGTTGGTAATTTTTTCAAATTTAAAGACCTCGCAATGGGATCCAAATGATTGGTATTCTGAGCAGATGGACGAAAATTTAATAGGTTTTTCAAAGCACAGGCACTACCCTCAGAGATCATGGCATGTTTGGAGTGAATTAACGACCTCAGCATGGGCACTGCACCATTGTCCCAAAGAAATCGTTGATCCTCGGGACATCGAGCCGATAAATTCCAGAGAGTACCACACGAATTGCTTACCACCGTCAGACTTTCCGATTTCAGTTGCTGAAGCAAAATCGACAGGCAGTTATGTTCCCTCAGTATTTGTCGATAATCCTCACGGACAGCTATGTGAGAGGAAACATTTCTTAAAATGCCACCGGCATTTTCAATAATTTTCAAGGTCTTACTGGGTCCTTCATAGGTTAGCATACGCACAATAAAAGACAACGCACCTTCTACAGCACAAAATTCAGCCTTATTGGTACTGCAATGGGCCGATAGATTCCAAAGGGCGGATAATATGGCCTTCAGGGTATTTTCACATTTATTTTTCATGGCAGCCTTGGCCAATGCCGTCACTGTCCCAATTTCATTTAGGACCGCCTTCATCTGGGCATCAGCCCTCCACGAGAGGTTACGCAGAACACTAGCCGTTACCTGTAGCAAATCATCGGGTGCACAATCCAATTGAGCGACCAGCGCTTCCATAAATAGCTTTTGACTGCAGAGCAGGGCCTTGTTGTTTTCATCGCCGAATGTGAGATTGGTTAAGGCCATCAAGGCAAAACGTCTCAGTGAATTGCAGCATTGATTTTCCGGCTTTGGACCATGCACAGCATGATCCAAATGCACTAAACTGGGAATGGCTTGTAGAGCACCCAATTCGCACATGGCATGGCGATGTTCTTCGTCAAAGCTCACCTTCATCAGCGAGGACATGGCTGCCAAGGGATGACGATCAGCATCATCGGCAATGGCTTCACCACCACTCTGCAAAAGGGTGCGCAGAAAATTACAGTAGTCCATAATTTGATCCAATAAACGGAGAACTTTGGCTTCCCTACGTCCGCACTTTTCATCTGGATGTGAGTGGACAACATTGTGCAGCGCCATGCCAGCCCATTTTCTAGGCTCATCGGGACCACCATCAGCATGTATTATTTGCACCAGCAATGGTATACAACCTGATCGACGTAAAGTATTACAAGTTTCGGGATTTTTGGAGAGTTCGTGAAATTTCTTGGCCATTTCTAGGGGATCATTGGAGCCCAACATCGAGAGTAGAGAATAGACACACTCAACTTTTGGTTCAAAATCATCCAGCTTGTTCGAGGAGGAGGCATTTCCACCCTCGTAACGACTATCAAAACTTTGTGTCCATGCCAAACCTTTGGGCAGGCGGGACATGGGTGGTATATCTTTGTAACGTTCTCGGGATGACCTAAATCCCGATAAATTACCATGCATATCCAATGCCGAACGTTGCTCATTGTGCCTTTCGAAATTTCGATCCAAACTGCGATGTTCACGCAATTGATGTTCGTTAATCATGTAATCGGGTGGTATTGGATTTTCATCCAAGAAATGTTTACGTGGTTTACCACCGCTTTGCATGGATATATTCAAATTGAGGGTGTTATCGTCTTGGGTAAACTCCTTCTTCGTGTAACCACTAGCTGCCAATTCGTAATCACTTATTTCGCCATCCTTTTCAAATTTTTTATCCATTTTTAATTGTTCCCCACTGCCGCTGCAATTATTTGTCTTTTGCGGAAGATTGGTGGACGTAGTGGTGGTGTTGTGGGCGGTGGCGGCGACGGCGGTTGTGCTATTGGAATTCTGACTGGCATTGCCAAAATTCATGGCCCTGTCAAAGTGTTCTATAAAATCGGGTGGTGGTATGGCATCATAATCTAAAAAATGTGGCTTTTTAGTAGCTACCGAATCAACATCGACATCAGCAACATCTACATCAGGATTAGCATCGTCCGAAAAACTAATGGAGTCATCTAAATCTGGTGTTGTCGCTTGGGACTGAGTCTTTTCGCCAGCCGATGAACGAAACATTTTGGCGAATATTTTTTTTTTCTTTTTTCTGTTTCTGGTGATGTCTCAATAATTAATTGCAATGAAAAGCAACGTGAATGAGGTTGTGAGAGGGAGGATACGGTGAGATGTGGTGTACTTTGTGTATGGTGGTCTCTGCTGTCTGCCTCTTGCCAGCAGTCCAAATTAAGCCACACTGCTATGCACGACAATGGATATATTCATATTTACGCTAGAATTCTGTAAGAAAAAAAAGAAAATTAGAAAAGAACTCATTATATATTGGAACAAAGAGATACATATGAGAGATGGTCAAGCACATACGATGTTAGAAGGCTTGAATATATATTTTCGTTATTTAAAAAGTTATCAGGTTGAATATGTCCTCAAGGTTAACAAATAAATGCAGAATTTAAAAAAGAATTTAAATTTGAGGACTTTTGGAATTACAATTTGGTTATCAAAGCATGAATTTAATGGACTATCAGATAATAGAACTAGCTTGTATTACATAAGGGTTTATATAGGGAAGGGTTTATATAAGGAACATTATCATAGGGCTGTCAAAAAAAGACACAGGCGGAGACCCAAACACAAATTGGAATACCGAATGAGCAAAATATGCTAGAAGTAGCATAGATCCAAGCTCACGACCAAAAATGCTGCTAGATAGATTACGGAATCTCCATTTCGGTGTATTTCCAGTTTAATAACATTTGACCCTATCGTCCAATATTAGCAACATCTCACAGCTTCCTCTTTAATTCCTGGGTCATGTTGGACTATTTGTGAAATTTTATCATTTGTCGTGGAAGGTTGTGATAAATCTATATCAGATTCAAGTTGATTTTCAGCATAGCTTAGACTAAAATCCGTTGGTTGATCCAAAGCAGTTTCCTGATATGTAGCTGTATCATTTTCAGGATCTTGTCTTGGAATGTCGGATAGACTGTCAGACAAGATGGTAGAAGAAGTGAGAAATAATATTGCCAAGAAGCATTTTACTCGGGCTCAAAGGCGAAAATTAGATTAGCAGGAAAGAACCGCAGGCGAATGATAGTTGGTCAACTTCTTCGGATGCGAAGAAAAGTATTAATTCCAAAATAAAACTTCCTGATTTTTGGTTACAACTCTAAGTCAAAAGAGGCTGTCTCACAAACCCATAACCAGAGAGTGACAAGTTTGCCTCTATTGCCAAAACAGAAAAAACGGGTATGGTGGATCTAATCATATACAAATGTTATACGATTCGTTAACGATCGTCAAGTTCTCACGAAGCTGATAAGAAGCATTATCTCCTATCGGGAACAAATTAAACTAATTGTAACGATGAAGACATACCTTGCCAGAAGAGAAACACCATCGCCGACTCGTAAATAGACTGTCCACTGGAGAGCGATTGAGGACGGACATCCAGAAGAGCCTCCATAGGAAAGAACAATTAAAGGTTATATACTACATATCGGGATTATTCTATAATCTTAGTTTGATAAAATGAAGGTCTCCGGAAAAAACCGTTTAAAACTTATTTTTATTTTAGCATCGGACACAGAAGTACAGAAACTGGGAAATTAAAACATGTACCTGCCATCAGTTCATCTTCCGTTCGACAATGAAATATCGGAAACAATTGTAGACAAATTCGAAGAGGGTCGAAGTCTTTGCAATGAATGAATGAAAATTTGATGGCTCAATGATATGAAATGTTAAGCAGCAGTGTCAGACAGTTCTCAAACTTGACAAGACTAAATGTGGAACACCTATGCCCAATAGGACAATGGAACTCACAGTTGTTATTAAGATAAGGAACGGAAGCAGAGCCTAAATAACTCAGTATCTGTCCACGAGTCACGCCCCGTTGTCATCCCGCGATCGAGAGCAACAATCTCTTACAGATGAGGGTGTCTTGGCATCTGTAGTCGAATGTACGGCTACAAGCACTCAGCCATCGAGCAACACCGATTCGGAGTTGAGGAACCACAGGGGAAGAGCAATCTCGACCCAGCCTTCAGAGACAATAGGGAGAGAGAGAGAGACTCAACTTCAAATTCTGAAACTGAACATGATAATCAGACAAATATAACCGTCTGCAAGAGCCGCAAGAGAGAAGAGGCTGACATGATGATAGTAGAGGTGAGTAAGCTGAGTCAGTCAAACCAATGTCATAGGAGACTGCAACGAGAATCCACTGACGAAGGCAGACGAAGCTGGCTCTGATATCAAGAAGACGATTGCTGAGTCGGAATCTTCCGCAAAGACCGGGAATCCCAAAAGGACCAACCGGTATTTGCGAAAGAGGAAGATGACAGCAACAGATGGTAATGAGCCGCCGTCTTATGCCAAGGTTGCGAGAAAATGCTATCGAGACGAGCTCTGTTATGCGGCCGGAAATAGCGCGTCCGGTAAGCTAAATAAGGAGACCCATAAGGAGGTGTTAAATGCGGTCAACAGCAAGATCATGGAGCACTTACAACAAGGAGAGGACTCCATTGACCTGGATACCTGCGCTTTCAAATGGGACAATCTAATGCTGGAATTTTAAACCCCAAAAAGCATTGAAGCCCTGAGGTAGCTTGTGACAAGCATTGGACCCATAGATGGAACAATGAAACTCAAGCTGGTGAGAAAAAAAGACATTCCTCAACTACAAATGGCTACAGTCTTTGGTTTGGGGCAGCGATTTCGGTACGGAACGCATGCTCGACGTCTTCAGCCTACAAAACAAGACGCTGCATGTGAAGAAATGTAAAGTCTTTCACAGAAAGGAGAGCGAGGAAGGGACTCTCCTTGTGTTAGGCGTGGACAGGTCTTCAATGGCAAATCTGGCTCAGACCAAGGGCAAGGCGCATTACGTGTCCAACGCCATGTACTTCAAAATCGGCAAGGCAAGGATTGGAGACGATGAAGCCAAAGATAACAGCGAAGGGAAAATACCCAGCAACAAAGAGGAGGGAGCCGAGGAATAAATAGATCACGGACTCCCAAGAAAACCGATTACTGGTGGACATCTGATAGCAGTCATCCAGATAAACCTCCATCGGAGCGAGACGGCAACCCTGGCCCTGAGGGAAAAAAATAATAAAAGGTAAAATACACATCGAACTGATGTAGGAACCTTGGACAATTAAAAACTAGGTTTTTTTCCCCCAAGGAGCCCTCATTAATTTTAGATATTATGAATGTCAACCTCGTAATGAAGGGTATAACCATATTTTGACTTGTTTTAATTTTTTGAGGGTCCCTCAGATCAATTAATATGTCTTTCGACATTATCTTTGCATGAATGCAAATAGCTAACTTGCCACCAAAAAATCCGACGGCCTACTCTTGCTACATGATTTGTAATTGTCTGGGTCATTGTCTGCTGATGTGCATAACCCGGGAAAGAAATTAACAATTCCACACTCTATTCTATGGATATATTTTTAGATTGAACTAATTTTTTTTCATTTCTTTCTAATGGTGCAAACAATTGATGAAAAAAAAAAAACTACAGCAGCAAAATTAGAAAACATACACACGCAGCACGAAGAAGCATTGATCGATGGTAGGAGGGGAGGGAACGAGAAGATATGATATGTGTTGCATGCGAACAAAAATACAATTATTTTCGAAGAAGAATTGCATTGCCACAGATAAAAAGAAGAAGAAATAAATACAGAAAATTAGAAAGAAACTAAAGTGTTTATGCAGCAATTATTTTACTGTTAACGAGAAGATTTTGTACGAATGGACGAAGTCGACGTGTCTGTCTGTCTATTGGGTGCGTAAGAGTTTAGTAATCCCATTTTATATATTATGGGGAATAGGAGAGGAAGAATGGGAATACTCATTGGAGTTAGGTGTGTGCGTGTGCTAAAATCTTAACAATAGAAATGTTGATGCCTCACAGATGCACCGCACGAACAAAATACATAATGCAGCAGTGTAGACATAATATCGGGTGCAATTGCAATACATTGGATATATGTAAATAATTCTCAAAATATTACAATAAACAGTTGCTGGAAGGAGAAGAGGACAAGATCTAATTATTTGGAAAGTTATGAATATAGTAAACAATTACTTCATAATCTTAATATATAAAATAACTTAGTGTGAGTGTGTGACTGAGAGATCATCATCGCCCAGACGATACGGCTGAAGCTAGAAGCTTGCAATTTTGAGTGTGGGTTGTTGTTGGTGTGTAGGCGCATGATAAGGCTGGGTTTTTGGAAATTCGAACTAGACAGGTACGAAAAGTACTAAAATGTACCAAATATGTTACCCATTGTATTAGACGAACGGGAAGAGCTAGAATTCGGAATGTAGGTCCCTGATGGAAATTCGACCTATAAGTGTACTAAATCTACTAAGCTTTGAAGAAATATTGCTAGAATCTTAAAATGTTGGTTGGGAAGTGGTGTAGATGTATGGAAATGGTTTTGAAAATTCGTACTTACGGGAACAAAACTATTGAATGGTACTAAATTTGGTACTAGTTGCATTTAGTTAAGGAATCCTGAAATCTGAAATTTAGAATTAAGATTGCTGATGAAGATTGAGGTATAGAGACATATTTGGGAATTCGTATTCATGTGTACGAAAAGTACTAAACGGCACTAGATTTGGTACAATTTGAATTTGGGTGAGCGGAGAGAGCTGGAACCCTAAAATTTGGAATAATGCTTGAGATATGGAAGCATAGTACTTGTGTGTACTAAATGGTACTATATTTGGTACAACTTGATTATGTGTGAATGGATAGAGCGTGTCTCCAGAACTTTTGTAATTAAAATTACTGTTGGAGTAGTAGGATTCATATAGTTTAGGAAATTCTTAATTCTAGAAACAAAAAGTACTAAATGGTACCAAATAGTTTACAAATTGTTTTTGTGTGAACGGATAGGTCTGAGATTTTGAAATTTTGAATTAATTTTACATATCTCAATCCTGCACTCCAACTGCAGGATTGAGATATGTCGGTGGTTTTGAAAATTCGTTTGGTACACTTGAGATTTGAGTGAACGGATAGAGATGGA